AAATGATTTTAGCAAATGGCTGCAATATAACAAAGAGTGAAAAATTTAAGGGGGTCTGATATACATACATACATACTGTATATACACACACACATATATATATATATACTGTATATACACACACACATATATATATATATGAAAAAAACAATAAATAAATACTAATATAATAATAATAATACACTATTATTCAAAGGTAATATTATTTTTTAAAAGAAATTAATATTCAGCAAGGATGAATTCAATTGATAAAAACTGACATTAAATCAAATATGTTCAATTGTTCAAATGTGATCAATTAATCAAATAATTTTTGGTTACCAAATCAGCATATTAGAATGATTTATAAAGAATCATATGACACTGAAGATTGGCGTGATGGCTGCTGAAAATTCAGCTTCTGACATCTCAGGAAAAACAGGAATTACAATTTAAAATATATTAAAATATTATTACAATTGATCAAATAAATTCATCCTCAGTGAGCAAAAGACAAACAAAAAGAAAACAAAAGAAAACAAAACCATTAAAATGTCTTAACTTTTGAACGGCAGTGTACATTGAAAAAAAAAAAAAAAAAAAAGTAGAACATGGGTGTAGAGCGTTTCTGCAAGAAATTATCGGTTTAGAAATCATAAATAAGACTTTGCAACAGGAAACTGTGGGTTCAGCTCACCCTCTGCAGGTGACACTCTGCCATCAGCAGTGCGCACCAAGTGTGTGATTTTACTCTTCCTAGCCTTCCTCTTCTGACTGCCCACAGGTGTGTCCAGAACCTTCTGGGGTTCAGGAGAGGGAGGCACACACGGGCTGCACGACTTCACTGGACTTGATTCTGTACTCACTGGGTCTGTTGGGACGATATCTAAAAGAACAGAGTGGGGACATGTGAAATACGTCAAAATGAGACCTGGAAGTCCTAATGCAGGTGCCTGACAATGAATGATGCTTTATGATGTTATATTGCATTTAGCTTGCGCCACTAATACTACACCACACCAGGCTGCATCAAAGTATTTACATAACTGTGACTCGTGTGCCCCTTTAAAGATAACCAGAGTATACAGTGACCTAGATATGACAGCGTGGAAACACTGAGGCACACTGGGCTAAACCACGGACAAACAACCAACACCATGCAAGCAGAGTTTCCAGCACTCGTTCACACAGTCTTGCCATCTGAACACAGAATGAAGCTGATATCAGAACAGTTTCTAATGGCTGTGGGGGCGTCACCTTTGTCTGCGGCACTGGATTTCTCCTTCCTGTGTTTGTACTTGTTCACTATCTTGTGGAATAAGGTCTTTTTCTGAGATGAAGATGAACCTAATTTAAAAAGCAATAAAACAGAACAAAAAATACAACACAGCATGCTATGTTAGGTGGAAGTCATGTCATTCTGAACATGAGATGGCTACTTCCTAAGAAAGTAAGCAAATGGGGAAATGAGTGTGGGGGCCAGGAGGATGTGATGTCAGTTTCCATGCATGCTGTGAACTCACCCTTGCAGGGTTTGGGTGGTTCAGGAGGGCTGGACGTACTGTTTTTTTTCTTCTTGGTGACCGCCACGCTCTTTTTGTCAAAAGTCAGTGGGCTGTACTGCGGTAAGCTGTTGAACTTTTTCTCGAACTCCTCCTCAAGCTTTCCTAGTCTGTGAGTTTTATACACAGTAAAACATTAGCCATCTGTGTGCAAAGTCTGCTCACCTGGATTCAACGTCTTCTAGATTAACTGACTTCAATCTTGCACAATGAAACACGATGGAATGTTCTTAAAGAATTTTATACTGATAAACTATGATCATGGGATGGCAAATATGAGTATGATACATGCTTGAAATGTACAAAATTCCTTGGACTACTTGCTTAATTACCAAGCTAACCTAATGCACAGAAATCGACAGCTTTTGAGAAATGTTTTAAGTCTTTTTAGACCATTAACACTCTTCAATTAACCTAATAAAAAAAACAGCAAACCCAAAAGTTAGCCTCAATGTCAAATATACTAATTCAACTGATATCAATCAATAATCAATGTTGAATTCGGCTGCAACTAATGAATTAAAAACTAAAAATCAAAAATGAAAAAAGTCGACAACAAACTTGTAATTATTCAAACTGTTTTGCTACTTTTAAATGATGGACAAATTTTAGTTTGTTGTTTTGATACTCTTAACTATTTAAACTGTACTTTTAGAAAATATGCATAGTTTATATTTAAAACCCATGTATAGCATTCATTCATTATATTTCTGTGTTTTTATAGCCTTAAATTTGCTTGTTGTTTGAAGGAACATTGGGAAAGATGTAAATTTTTCAACAAAATGCAGAAAATAAAATGTGGCTTTTTTTTTTAAAAACCTGATTTATCAAGAATAAAAAATATTCCATTATAAAAATAGTTGTTAGTTGCAGCCCAAATAAAACAAACTCCTATGCAGGAGAAGAATCACTGTTTCCCTGTAGATTCAGTGCTGTGATGGGAGAAATCACAGCTCACCCTGTGGTGGTTTCCTCTTTAGACTTGGACTTCTTGAGCTTTTTTGGGTTGCTGGTAGCAGCTTGAGAAAATCCCCAGCTCTCGTCATTCCAGCCGCCCTCATGATCGGACACACTGCCTCGCATGGAACCTCTTTTCCCTAGAATACGACCAGAAGACCAAACAGCACTTTTTTCATTTACTGTATTAACTGATTTTAGTTTATATGTGAATTATTTGAGATAAAGGCCAATTGAATCCAAGTGAAAATGCTAAATGATATTCAGCATAATATAAGTTAAAATGAACACATTTCAGGTTGTTGAAATTGTACTTCAGCCTACAGTGGAGTACAAAGGTCCAATTACATTGGAAAACACTTTCTTAGAAAATGCTAGGAAGTAGGGCTGGGCGATATGTAAAAAAAGATCTTATCGATAACCGCCTTAAAAAATATCGCGATATCCGATAATACCGTCTACCCAAGCCCCACCTCCACCAGGCCCCGCCCCCACCGAGACCACATTGCCGACATGCACCATAAACACACACCATGTTCAGTGGAGTAGCCTAGGGCATATCCGCTGGTCCCCCCCGCGAACCGCAAGTCGGGGTTGGGATACATCGCAATATTGTAAATATTTGTTTTAAACCATGTAAGTGAGCCAATGGATATCACACAAGCAACGTGCAAACTTATGCAGGTGAACGTCTTAATCTCAGTCAATTCACCAGAAAGTGAAAGTAAAAATTGACGGAGCTTTCGGCATCTGACGCTGCATTAACGGTGCATATTCTTTCAGAGACGACGAGAGACAAATCGACTTAATATGCTGATAATGGTATATAACTGTTTTAATTTACTCCCTTAAAGGGGTCATATGATGCTGCTAAAAAGAACATTATTTTGTGTATTTGGTGTAATGAAATGTGTTTATGCGGTTTAAGGTTAAAAAAACACATTATTTTCCACATACTGTACATTATTGTTTCTCCTCTATGCCCCGCCTTTCTGAAACGCGTCGATTTTTACAAAGCTCATCGGTCTGAAAAGCAAGGTGTGCTGTGATTGGCCAGCTATCCAGTGCGTTGTGATTGGCCGAATACCTCAAGCGTGTGACGGAAATGCATCCAGTGGGGACATAATTATGGATTATAATAACTTATAATGTCTTTTTACGCGTATGTGGGGGCGTGTTAGAACGAGCCATTTTAGGTAGGCGTGGTTGACTCTTAACTTTTATAAAGAATATCTCTTTGGATTTGAGACTTTAGTCTTTGCAACTTTACAGATCTTCTTTATGCACCAAGAGCTTGTAACACTCCAAAGAGAAAGGAAAAATTGAAATCACATCATATGACCCCTTTAATATTTATATTGTGGCCCGAACATAATGAAAAAATGAGAAGAAATGTACTTCGTATTAAACAGGTTGTTTTTGAAAGTCGGTGCTTGAAATAAAGCTGCT